TGTGAGGGGGGATTTACACTGCCCACCAATGTAAGGGGGGATTTACATTGACCACCAATATAAGAGCATATTCTACACTGACCACCAATGTCAGGGGGCATTTATACTGACCACCAATGTAAGGGGGATTCTACACTAACCACCAATGTGAGGGGGGATTTACACTGCCCACCAATGTAAGGGGGGATTTACATTGACCACCAATATAAGAGCATATTCTACACTGACCACCAAAGTAACAGAGGATTTACACTGACCACCAATGTAACAGAGGTAATTATATTGACCCCTCCCTCTGCTACTTTCTGCATCACACACAGTAACTTCTCCTCTCACCTCTGCAGCACATTTACTGGTCGCACTTAATGGCAGCAGGGGGAAGGTAGGACTCCCAGGCATCCTCTTCATTCTTTACATCCCCATGTAGGGAGCATTCAGTGGCATTGATGGTGGGTGAGATATACATTTAAATGAACCACAATGTTTACATATGAATGGGTTGCTACTTATTCATAAATCATGTAGCCCATTCATAAGTAAATCTGGAGGCTGAATGCAGATTAATGAGCTAAGGGAACACTAAGGCAAGGCTACGCAGAGGCAGAGACTGAGCTAGATTCCCTGTGATAGAAGGTCAAAACCCGGGACACAGGTTTAGAGGGACAGCTTGGCAGAAGGCAGGACTGTCTCAGCAAATCCAGGACAGTTGGCAAGTATGTAGATGTTCTGTAGTCCTCAGAGAGAACTGAGGACAATGTAATTGATAAGAGTACAGCACAGCTAGAGAGCTGACCAGATTTCTGGCAGGATCAACAGGTATTTTTTCCCTTATTAAACAGATATAACAAATGCTTTCAATTGTATATTTAACAGGCCAAAATGGAGCAAATAAGAGAGGTTCATTGTTAGGGGATTTCATACACTTTAACCTTAATTCACACAATAATAATAGGTTCCAATGAATCATATAACCCCATGCAATAGACTAGCCCTGACAATATCAAGGTATGCCCATGCTCCTAGTGTTTCCCTTTAGGGCGGTCATAAGGACAGCTAGGACTGACAGATATTGGACAGATGTGGCAGCCAAGCTCCAAGCTTTATCTGAATAAAACTTGGCAAAAAATAAAATCCAACTTTTAAAGAAAAGATAAAGCTGTGAAAGGTCGAGAACATGCGTCAAACAACCGAACTGATTACAGCAGTGCCCAGAAATGAAAACGATATGTACTATCAACTACTAGATATACAGCCTATGTGAAGCCAAAAGGGCGTAGTGCCATAGGGGATCCAAAAAGGTAGAAAGAAAAATCAAGTGTTTATACTCTGTGTAGCCATTGCCATGACCCATTTATCATACTTTAAAGCTCTGTACCCTTTATGTATTGCCATGGCAGCATCAGGAAGTTAGGTTGGGGGAAAGTTAGGTATCCCCAAACCTAGAAGAAAAGAGATCAATCTATGCAGTAAAAATGGGACTAGGGATAGAATTCCAAAACAGCTAAAAGATCTCACATCTCCACTGGAATGAATGGAGATTGCATCATACAGTCATGGACAAAAATATTGGCACCCTGCATTTCTGTCAGATAATGCATTACTTTGCACAGAGAATTGTTGCAATTACAGATGTTTAGGCATTGTCATGTTTATTTCTTTTGTTTGTATTAGTATGACACAAAAATTGGAGAAAAAAAGCCAAATCTGACACATTTCACGCAAAACTCTAAAACTGGACTGGACAAAATTATTGGCACCCTCCATTAATATTTGGTAGCACAGCCCTTGGAAAAAAATAACTGAAATCAGCGGCTTCCTATAAGCATCAATGAGTTTCTCACAGGGATTTTGGACCACTCTTCTTTCGCCAACTGCTCCAGGTCTCTCAGATTGGAAGGGTTCCTTTTCCCAACTGCTGTTTTGAGATCACAGGTGCTCTATGGGATTCAGATCTGGACTCATTGCTGGCCAGTCCGGTACTCTCTAGTGCTTTGTCTGAAACCATTTATGGGTGCTTTGGGTCATTGTCTTGCTGTAAGGCCCATGCCCTCTGACAGAGACCCAACTTTCTGACACTGGGTCCTACATTGCACCCCGGAATTATTTGCTAGTCTTCAGATTTCATAATTCCATGCACACAGTCAAAACATGCAGTGCCTGAAGCAGCAAAGCAACCCCAAAACATCAGTGAGCCCCGTGTGCTCCTTACAAATGACAGCTGCCTCCTAACTTTTGCGTTTTTCTCTAGTCTAGTCTTGGAGCTGGAAAGTATCTGTACTTGTACTAAGTATGGTACTTGGTATGTGTGCATCCCTACCGGGCCCCATAGGAGTCATGCGGGTTGCTACAGCTAATGTTATGCTACTGGGTGCTAAAAGGGAACACTTATGTGTGGTGGTGGAAGGGTTGTGGATGGAGGATGCCAGACCACGGTGTCAGCGGCTCTGTGTGGCAAGCCAGAGCAACCTGTCCAGAGCAACTGGTGATGTCATTGAGTTGGTCGAGACGCCAGACACCGTCACGGGTTGCTAAGAGCTGTGGCTGTCCCCCTGCCACCACCACCCAGCTGCCCCCCCCCCCCCCAATTGAGATGCCGCCTGAGGCAACCACATCAGGCTGCCTCATTATAGGGACAGCACTGGCTACTAATCTCATTGAGCAGACCAGAAAGCTTGAGCTAGCCGTACACAGATTTGAATGGGAAAAATCACTTGATTCTATCCGCGGGGCTAAACAAGATATCAGGTGATTCCCTGAGGTGGACAGAGAAATCTCCCGACAGCTCTTGTATTCAGACAACTGAATACCAAACAATGACTACATCTGATTGGATTCAGTCACTATTTGACTGACAATTTTTCACCCATGGGTTGTTTGCTACACGTTTGTTGAGTGGTGCGGTGATGACAGGCCCTGTAACGGTTTTCATCTCAGCCAATTTCATGGCCTGCCTTAAGGTGCCCATACACCTTACGATTATCGGCTGATTTTCGTATGCGATCGCGTTTTCGTCCGATATTTATAAGGTTGATGGACAATGTGCAACCGCAAATACAGTACAATCTATCGACTTTTGACTATCCAGCAGGTTAGAAAACTTTGGTCGATTTTCGCAAGGTTGGTGGCGTTTACATACAATGTGCAACCGCAAATACAGTACAATCTATCGACTTTTGACTATCCAGCAGGTTAGAAAACTTTGGTTGGTGGCGTTTACATACGTAAAAATTTGTACGATTAACACTGCTCATGCGCAAACGAAAATACGTGTGACCGATTGCCACAATTCGTCCAGGTGATTTTTTTAACTACTGCTGATTAAACCTTACGATAATCGGGGCAGGATGGGGCCGCCGTACGAAAATTGTACGACGGTTTGATCATCGGACCAAAGGTTTCGTCCGATGATTGCAGGCTGTATGGGCAGCTTTAGAGCTGGTGTGAATGGAAGTACATAGATGTGGCCGACCTCAGGTCACAGCGGAGAGGAGCCACGGTGACCTCTGTGGTCCCTCTAATGCACACCACAAAACGCTGCATATTTATGAGCGGCATAGTATTTGTACAATGGGAAGGGACTCGGAGGAATAGTGAGAGACTTAGGCAGCCTATTTTCTATCCTGTTTCTCCCATCACTTTACAACAGCTTCATTTCCTCAATGAAATAGCTGCGAGGAGGTGGTATATTCCCACAGCGAGCACGGACATTGTCCGCCTTTTCTTTCCTATCTGACACTGAGATGCTTTGTAAATGGAGAGGAAGAGTTCATTCATCAATTTCTAGAATGTCTCATTGGACTCAATTAAGTACAGCTAGCCGCCATCAGACACAGATCCCAGTGTGAGTACCCCTCCCCCTCCCCTGTCATGCTGCACACGGCCGGCCAGCAGGGGGCGCTCTTGTCACGCCGCACAACCACATCTACCTACAGGCTCGCAGCCAAATCCTATTCCCTTTACGGCTCAGCGCTGTCTGACTCATGCGAATAGGGTGGCACATTATCCTCCATCATTAATTACCCATTATGTCCCCCTTCCGGGATTAAACAGATAAGTGACGGATGGAACGAACAAGCGCACGCCTCCGATGAGGGACAATGACATGTGCACGGAGCACGCATTAGATAACCCGCGATTGCCACCTCATACACTGACAGCGCACACCAGCAGGACACGGCTCATTCAAGGGAGATCCTAGCCCCGCCCCTCCCTCTTGCTGATTAGCCCAGGATTGACGTCAGAAAAAAACCATGTGCGTATCCTGCTTCTGATTGGACGCGAGCTGCTGTCAGTCATCAGATCTCCCCCGAGCGCAGTTTTAGGTGCTCGTTCTGGGGGATTCTAGTTTTGTTCCAGCACGGTGTCAGCTGTCATAAGGCTGTGATCGCCCCCTCAGCAGAGGGGTGTGGGGTACAGCCCTGTCTCTGTCAGTCCCCTATATAGTAAATCGCAGCTAGTAGAGGAAGAAGCTCCAAATCTTCTCTTTGACGCAGACGGGTCCGTACAGACTCGGTGACAGGTCCCCCTGCCCCCGGGTGACTCCCTGACCCATCGGGGGGGGGGGGGGGGGGTTATAAATACAGAGTCCGCGCGGAGATCCGTGCAACAAGTCCAAGAGTGACAGCCGGAGATGTACCCGGGCACATATCTATGCTAATGAGGGGGTGTGTCTGGGAGGATCGGAGACTCCCCATAGCCCACATATAAAGTAGTCTGGGGAAAAAAGCGCAAGCACATCATACAGAAGAAAGCTCCAGAGACGGCGGTGTGACAGAGTGACCCCCGGGTGATCGGTGTGTACAGAGTGTAGGTACACGTTGTCAGGGCACGGGCAGAGCTGGGTGGCTGCGCAGTTGCTTTTCTCCTCTGAGTAGCGGATTAGCTAAAGCCTCTGTGATCGCCTGTGCTGATCGGCTTCTGTGTGTTTTACAGGATCGGACCGAGACGAGCCATTCTTTATCATCTGTCTGTGTGGCAGAGCTGGAAGGACAGCATCTCACCATGGCAGACGATGACAACGCCAGCGCCGTCCATGGTATAAGCTCAGGCTGCGACGACGACACTAAATGCAATGTACTAAGTTGGGAGCAAGTCCAGCGCCTGGACTCCATCCTGACCGAGACCATCCCCATCCACGGCCGTGGCAACTTCCCCACTCTGCAGATGAAGCCCGGGCAGATCGTCAAGGTGGTGCGCTCCAGGCTGGAGGAGAAGAACATCAAGGTCCGGGACGTCAGGCTCAATGGCTCGGCTGCGAGTCACATACTGCATGAGGACAGTGGATTGGGCTATAAGGACTTGGATCTCATCTTCTGCGCAGATCTCAAAGGAGAGGCCGAGTTTCAGACTGTCAAAGATGTGGTCTTGGATTGCCTTTTGGATTTCTTACCCGAAGGAGTTAACAAGGAGAGGATAACCCCACTCACCCTAAAGGTAAATACAGGCTTTGACCATCCCTGAGAACAAATACTGACTTTCATTTACTTCCAGATGTGCCCCTAGTGACCAGTCACCCCCACCCTCCCTTCATAAGTATAGGCTGCAAGCATGGGGACTTTAGTTTTCATTAGCCCCTACAAGAACTGAGGCTTTTGGCTTTATTAGCTGTGCAATCATTGAGACTTTACTCTATATTAGCCTGTACATGCTTGAGACATAAGTCTTCATTAGCCTCTACAAGAGCTGAGATTGTAGTCTTCATTAGCCTTTACAAGAACTGAGATTGTAGTCTTCATTAGCCTCTAAAAGACGGAGACATAAGTCTTCATTAGCCTTTAGAAGAAGACTTATGAGCCTCTACAAGAATAGAGACTGTGGTCTTCATTAGCCCCTATAAGCACTGAAACTGTGGTCTTCATTAGCCCCTACAAGCACTGAAACTGTGGTCTTCATTAGCCCCTACAAGCACTGAAACTGTGGTCTTCATTAGCCCCTACAAGCACTGAAACTGTGGTCTTCATTAGCCCCTACAAGCACTGAGACTGTAGTCTTCATTAGCCCCTACAAGCACTGAGACTGTAGTCTTCATTAGCCTCTACAAGCACTGTCCTACAAGCACTGAAACTGTGGTCTTCATTAGCCCCTACAAGCACTGAAACTGTGGTCTTCATTAGCCCCTACAAGCACTGAAACTGTGGTCTTCATTAGCCCCTACAAGCACTGAAACTGTGGTCTTCATTAGCCCCTACAAGCACTGAAACTGTGGTCTTCATTAGCCCCTACAAGCACTGAAACTGTGGTCTTCATTAGCCCCTACAATCACTGAAACGGTGGTCTTCATTAGCCCCTACAAGCACTGAAACTGTGGTCTTCATTAGCCCCTACAAGCACTGAAACTGTGGTCTTCATTAGCCCCTACAAGCACTGAAACTGTGGTCTTCATTAGCCCCTACAAGCACTGAGACTGTAGTCTTCATTAGCCCCTACAAGCACTGAGACTGTAGTCTTCATTAGCCCCTACAAGCACTGAGACTGTAGTCTTCATTAGCCTCTACAAGCACTGAGCCTGTATTTGTCAATAGCCTCTACAAGCACTGAGCCTGTATTCGTCATAGCCTCTACAAGCACTGAGCCTGTATTCTTCATTAGCCCCTACAAGCACTGAGCCTGTATTCTTCATTAGCCCCTACAAGCACTGAGACTGTATTCGTCATAGCCTCTACAAGCACTGAGCCTGCATTAGTCATTAGCCTCTACAAGCACTGAGCCTGTATTCGTCATAGCCTCTACAAGCACTGAGCCTGTATTCGTCATAGCCTCTACAAGCACTGAGCCTGTATTTGTCATTAGCCCCTACAATCACTGAGGCTGTGGTCTTCATTAGCCCCTACAATCACTGAGGCTGTAGCCTTCATTGGCCCCTACAAGCACTGAGGCTGTAGTCTTCATTAGCCCCTACAAGCACTGAGGCTGTAGTCTTCATTAACCTCTACAAGCACTGAGACTGTAGTCTACATTAGCTTCTACAAGAGCTGAGCCTGTGTTCGTCATTAGCCCCTACAAGCACTGAGCCTGTAGTCTTCATTAGCCTCTACAAGCACTGAGACTGTAGTCTTCTTTAGCTTTAGTTCACACCATTATAGCTCTTTTGCATTGTGCAAAGTTATGACAGATGACACAAGCATTAGCAGCCCGTGCCTTGTTTTGTTGTTGGCTTTCTGTCAAAGTGGTATCCTATGATGCTCCATTATAGTGTCAGTGCTTATTGCCGCCTCTTTTGCTGGTTCCCTTTCTTTCTGGAAGCTAGAGTTGGAAACTAAGGGGGGGGCTACTTGTCATGGTTCTCTCTAGTGATTGACTGACTGCTTTATGTTTGTGTTTCTCATTCCAGGAAGCTTATGTTCAGAAAATGGTAAAAGTCTGCAATGACTCAGATCGATGGAGTCTGATCTCATTATCCAACAACCTGAAACTGTGGTCTTCATTAGCCCCTACAAGCACTGAAACTGTGGTCTTCATTAGCCCCTACAAGCACTGAAACTGTGGTCTTCATTAGCCCCTACAAGCACTGAAACTGTGGTCTTCATTAGCCCCTACAAGCACTGAGACTGTAGTCTTCATTAGCCCCTACAAGCACTGAGACTGTAGTCTTCATTAGCCTCTACAAGCACTGAGCCTGTATTTGTCAATAGCCTCTACAAGCACTGAGCCTGTATTCGTCATAGCCTCTACAAGCACTGAGCCTGTATTCTTCATTAGCCCCTACAAGCACTGAGCCTGTATTCTTCATTAGCCCCTACAAGCACTGAGACTGTATTCGTCATAGCCTCTACAAGCACTGAGCCTGCATTAGTCATTAGCCTCTACAAGCACTGAGCCTGTATTCGTCATAGCCTCTACAAGCACTGAGCCTGTATTCGTCATAGCCTCTACAAGCACTGAGCCTGTATTTGTCATTAGCCCCTACAATCACTGAGGCTGTGGTCTTCATTAGCCCCTACAATCACTGAGGCTGTAGCCTTCATTGGCCCCTACAAGCACTGAGGCTGTAGTCTTCATTAGCCCCTACAAGCACTGAGGCTGTAGTCTTCATTAACCTCTACAAGCACTGAGACTGTAGTCTACATTAGCTTCTACAAGAGCTGAGCCTGTGTTCGTCATTAGCCCCTACAAGCACTGAGCCTGTAGTCTTCATTAGCCTCTACAAGCACTGAGACTGTAGTCTTCTTTAGCTTTAGTTCACACCATTATAGCTCTTTTGCATTGTGCAAAGTTATGACAGATGACACAAGCATTAGCAGCCCGTGCCTTGTTTTGTTGTTGGCTTTCTGTCAAAGTGGTATCCTATGATGCTCCATTATAGTGTCAGTGCTTATTGCCGCCTCTTTTGCTGGTTCCCTTTCTTTCTGGAAGCTAGAGTTGGAAACTAAGGGGGGGGCTACTTGTCATGGTTCTCTCTAGTGATTGACTGACTGCTTTATGTTTGTGTTTCTCATTCCAGGAAGCTTATGTTCAGAAAATGGTAAAAGTCTGCAATGACTCAGATCGATGGAGTCTGATCTCATTATCCAACAACCATGGCAAAAATGTGGAGCTCAAATTTGTGGATTCTTTGAGGAGGCAGTTTGAATTCAGTGTAGATTCATTTCAGATTAAGCTGGATTCCCTTTTGCTTTTTTACGAGTGCTCAGAGTACCCAATGACCGAAACTTTCCACCCTACAATTATTGGGGAGAGCGTGTATGGAGATTTCCAAGAAGCCTTTGATCACCTTTGTCACAAGACCATTGCCACCAGGAACCCAGAGGAGATCCGCGGAGGTGGCCTTCTCAAATACTGCAACCTTTTGGTAAGAGGTTTCAGGGCAGCCTCCGAATCCGATATGAAGTCTCTACAGAGGTACATGTGTTCTAGGTTTTTCATTGACTTTTCAGATATTGGAGAACAGCAAAGGAAGCTGGAGGCCTACTTGCAGAACCACTTTGTGGGCTTAGAAGACCGCAAGTACGATTATCTTATGACTCTGCACAGTGTGGTCAATGAAAGCACAGTATGTCTCATGGGACACGAAAGAAGGCAGACTCTGAGCCTTATCACCATGCTAGCCATCCGAGTACTGGCTGAACAAAACATTATTCCCAACGTGGCTAATGTAACATGCTACTACCAGCCAGCCCCATATGTAGCAGATGCCAACTTTAGCAATTATTACATTGCCCAAGTTCAACCTGTCTTTACATGCCAGCAACATACATACTCCACTTGGCTACCCTGTAATTAAGACTGATTGAATGATTTCTTAGAGGAAAACGTTCCCTAAGCATATAAAACAGGGGATTGCCCAGTAATTAAATGGGGTGCGAGTTTGAGAAATGATGATCTGCTCTAGGTTTCAGTCTTTGGGAAGCTTGTGGTTCATATAGAGAATTCATGAGAGCACGATCAAAATGATAAGCACCTAATTAATTGGGTTTCAACCCCAGAGCACAAAGCAGCCTGTCATTTAAAGTTAAGAGAGCCTTCTGTATGCAGTGAAGGAATGCTTAATGTAAGTACAGGTTGGCAGTTCCTGCTCACGTAACATTTGCATAGGAAGAGGTTAGTAAAGTGGATTTTTGCAAAAAAAAAAAGGGAGTATAGACTGAACTTTTCCTTCTGAATTTGAATTCTATGTAGCAAAGCGTGCGTGAAGGAAAACACATTGGATATATTAGAATGACCATTGTGGTTTTACAGCGTTTGATCTTGAGTCGTTTAGAATGTATAACCTGGCTGCTTGCATAGAATGCTTTTACCAGACATAACGTTCCTTCTAGTGAACTGCGGTAGGGTGATACAGTTCTGAAGAATGCCATTCAACAAAAGATTATCTTTCCACACGTTTGCATCAATCACATTTTACAAAATGTGACCGTGCAGAGGACAGTTAGTAGCAAATCTAATGCTTAAGGACCAAAGATTTCTTAAACATACCCAAAACAAAAGAGTCAGATAAGAGATCCTATTTGTGTACCTGTTTATTTACTGTATCAAAGTGCCTATCGCCTCCAGAAAATTAAGAGAACATATATTTGTGATTGAACCGCACATTTTTCATTTTATTTTTTCAGGGATTCTAGTACAATAAACAAAAAACAACAAATAACCTAAATCCTGAACTTGTGATGAACAGTGCAACGAATGCCATATTTTTCCCTGGCAAACAGTTGTATAAACATCATTATTTGGGAAAGGTTTGCATATTCACACAGCGTGTGTGTTTCCACATGCACAAAGGTGTATTGAAATATGGATTAGATAAATGTAGCACTTAGAAAATGTTTATATAGAGAACTGTGTGTTCAACAGTCTGACCAGATTTATAATTGCAGAGGCTCGTGATGAGGTTTTCAGCCTGTACCTGGAAACTCTATGAAATCAATACTTCTGGGTGATATTTTTAATCTTCCTCTTTTTAAGAACATATAAACAAAAAAAAGATTAGTCTGGGGAACATGAAAATTAATTA